ATCAGATATTTTCATATCAGAACACAGCTGTTGCCGTTAACTCGAGGCAGCTTTGCTGCTGACCCCTACTTAGGAGAGATGGTAGCCATCCATCCCATCAATAGATCTCGTTGTTACACATGCATTAGCAGGTCACGGTGGGGGGTGTGTATGTGTGTGTGGAGGTTATAATCATCTGCATTGCTTTTTAAGCATTTAAACACATCATTCCGGGGTCTCTAAGCTTGGCGGACTGCCAAAGGGCTGCAAGGCATCAAAGAGATGAAGAGCCCTTGGCCTGGTAAGTGAGGAGCCACATTAACAAGGGACAGGGGAATGTGAGTATGAGACCATGCCCTCTGTCTGAGCAGTTAGCCGGCCTGCCTTTGTGTTGACCTAGACCTTGAATTATTTGGGCACATTATTTTTCCTTGTACACTTCTTTAGCTCTTTATCACTCCCATTCACTTTCTTTAGCCCCTGATTGCTATGCCCTTTTAATCTTACCCTTTAGGTTTGGCTTACAATCAAATCTCATTTAGTCTTTCTGTCCAATGGCTGCGTTCTCTTCCTTTAGGTGGTCTCTTTTCCTTCTTGGTCTTCCTCCCTTCCCCTCTTTCTCTCCTCTGCCTACTCTCTGTGCATCTCAGTTACCTCTCTCTTGGCCCTCCTGACCTGGCTGGCTATCAGTCATCCCTCCTTCTTGGGTTTTGCAGTACATACTTTGGGCACCAAGAGTCTACACTATTCCTTGCATTAGGGAAGGGAATTAATTTTGTCTACAGGGTGTGTTTCTAAGATGCAACCAAAAAACAGACTGACCACCTGAGCAAAGGGCAACAAAACATTCCATGGTAAGGGGGTATCCTATCTTTGCCAACCCAAACTTAAATATAATTTGTAGGAGAATGTTTGATAATCCCTGATGACCAGATGCCTAAGGAAGGTCAGCAGACTGGACAAGGAGTCTTCTCAGGGCATAAATTCCCAGAGTAGCAAAAGGAAAGTATACTGCTTAGTCACTGCTAACAGGGTGAGCCCTCTTAAGCAGGCCTAGACCAGCGTCGCTTTTCTAAATCAGAAGTGATGAGGTTAGACCAGGGGAAAAGCCAGGGTGACTTCATGACCTTTGTGCTTTAGCTTTGGACAAACATACAAGAGCACCGTACCTCCTCCCGGGCCTCACCATGGGAAATATTTGTCCTGAAACAGCCAACTCCCCCAGCAAGGTATTGAATACTCACATGTAGACTGAAAATCCTATCAATGGCCTAAAAAAGAAAGAAAGAAAGAAAAAAAAATGGAAAGAAATAAAGGAAAGAAACAAAGAACCTAATCTGCATTTGAAAATATGCTTATTTTTATTACTTATTATTATTCTGTGTTTATTTATTTATTATTATTTATTACTTATACTTATTATTATTCTGTGTTTGAACCAGGCTCACAATATATTTTTTTATTTGTTTCTATCTTATTTCTAAGAAAGGACACAAATCTTAAAAAAAAAAAAAACGAGAGTGTAGTGACACTTCATTGGACAGTTGCTAACATAAAAAGCAGCTCAGAGAATTTAGGATAGATTGAAACCACAAATTTTATAAACTTCACTGATCTGTTCTTTGATCCTCTTAAAGAAAGAAAATCTATTTTTATCAGGGTGGTTTTTTTTCAATATTTGTTCATTTATTTATTTTAAATGAATTATACCACCCTTACTATGAACTCATCCCTTTTGAGAAAATTGTCTGTTCCAAACCTGTTAGCTCTTAGTTCCTCATAGTTCCCAACCACTTGTAGAATAAAGCTCCTCAAAGCCACAATCTGAAGATAAAATATTAAATTTATTGATCATATGGAATATTCAAACTTAAATATAAATTAAGATTTCAGATATTTATTTAAAATAAAATCTATGAGGGTAAAACTTCTCAGGTTCTTCTTAGGGATACTTTTTTGCCCCTGCCAACATCTTTTTCAAACTCCACAGAAACTTATTATGTGGCTTCTCTTGTCACTAAAACTAGGTCAAGTTCAGATTCTCTGGTCCTTGATTATGTTCTTATTTTCAAATATCTAACCCAGACTGAGAATTTTAATGCATGCTACGTATCGCATCAATGAGTGTATTCATTGTGTTCTGAATAAAAGAGCTTCGTTTTTTTCATAACCTTTCCCCCAGAACATGTTGTTTAACACGTAATTGTGATTTTGCCAACACATTGACATCAGTTTATAAGATTTAAGATAAATACACGCAGAAGGAATTGTCCCAGCAGAAGTGCTGTGTGGACCCTTTAAAACCACACCGCACAGGGGCGCCTGGGTGGCTCAGTGGGTTAAAGCCTCTGCCTTTGGCTCAGGTCATGATCCCAGGGTCCTGGGATCTAGCCCTAATCTGGCTCTCTGCTCAGCAGGGAGCCTGCTTCCTCCTCTCTCTCTGCCTGCCTCTCTGCCTACTTGTGATCTGTCAATTAAATAAATAAAAATCTTTAAAAAAGAAAAAAACACACCGCACAGAAGCCACAGTAAACTGGGTAGGGAGGATGCCTGCAGTGTCCACACATAAACAGGATGAGACTCCAGCTAAGCCTCCTATCATCCCTGAAAAGCTATGAGTTGGGAACCAGGATGTCTGCCCGGATCGAAAAGGATTCTTCTTCCTGTGGTTCCTAAAAGAGAGACCATTTCTTTTGGATTTTGTCATACCTGATGTCAATGTTCTATCTTTTTCCCTCTCGCATTGCTGTAATCTAACTAAACCAGCATCTCCACTTTCAGAAGGCTACTCTTCTGGGATAATTTGATTTTTCATGGTTCTCCCTGAAGCTTAGGGTAACTATGCATATTTTTTTTCTGACTTACATAAGACAATATTCATGTCTAATAAATTCTCTAGAAAGTGAATGTTTCGCTTGAGATAACTGGGGATTCTGGGATTTAGATCGGTCAACCCAACACAGATGGCAAACTAAAGTGGTAGGTAGGCGGGGAAGAGGGCAGAAGAGCATCTGTGCAGGCTGTCCATGGCCATTCCCATCACCCCAAAGCCCTTTATCAGCCAAACCTCCGTAGACCCCCACCCCAGGTTCTTGACAGCACTGTTCCCCCACCTCCAGCTTTTCCTCCTCCACCCCCATTCCCTGCCTTTGGGCTTCTGTCTTGGCTTGCCACAACATCAGGGATGGAAATCCTATTCCAGGCGACATAAAAGGCACCAAGTTTCCACCATCTGTCTGCCTGTAACTCTTACCCCTCATGTGATTCTGAGAAACAGGCTTTTCCCAGTCCCCCTCTCTGTTTACTCCAGCTGACTTTTTCTTGATTTGTCTCCAGGGGCAGGACATCCTGATACTATTACTACAGAGAAAAGACAGGGGATGTTCTTAGAAACCACAATTCTGTCCTACAAGAATGCCTAGAGGTATATGGAACCCCTAAGCTGTTGGAGAGGGTCCCTTTGTTATAGGGGCTCAGTGGGTGAGGAAGCGACAATGAACTATTTTCCGCCTTTCTGAGTCCCAAGTATATCCACTAGAAAGATACTGTTTTGCCTCAGATTTGCATCAGCCTGAGGTTTGACCTGAGAGTCAGAAATCCATTAAAAATAATCCCGAATCATTTCATTGTATTCAGGAGGATTTCTCTTGTTTTCTCAAATACGTGGGCATGAGGCCAGACAGAGCTATTCAACTTGACAAAAAGACTGCTAAAATGATTGAAAATCCATTTAATTTTATTTAGAGTCACCTAAAGGTTTGCATGGTTAGTTAGATTCTGTTAATCAGAAGGTGTATAAGTATTGGGTTACAATTTTTTGCAAATGAGGCACATTTGTGATGGTTTATCCATTATATGATCATTACTTTTCCTGCTTATGCAGACTGAGGCATTGATGAAAAATAGAGAAATGAACTTTTTTTAAGAGACAAGTTTTTCCCTAATTAATTTTAAGATAATGAAAAACAACAGCAGTGAATATAATCTATTTTTGCATCAATACAGTTTATTTTGACCAAGAATCAGAAGACAATGCTTCTAGTACTAGTTATGGTGGGAACACACTGAGCAGCCTTGAGCACATCACTGAATCTCCTGCCTCGAGACTGGGAGCAGTGCTCTCTGAGGTCCCGTTAGCTCTAATATTCTGTGATTCAATCACTAAAAAGGGACTCATTTGCCCCCCCCCAAAATGCCTACAGTTTGTGACTACAGAATCTCCCCACAACTTTGAATCTCCCCCATCATGCCATTTCTCTTCATATTTAAAAAGGGAATGTCTACCAAAAGTTCCAGAAAAGAAGTCCATTGCCAGTAGACAATTCCCTAATTTACTTCCAGTACCAGGATCTCATCCTACCAAGATGCACTTCAACAGACTCCAGAGGATCAAATATGCACCATCAGTCTCCCCATCATCACAGGCAAGGACAGACACTTACACAGTATGCCCCTGGGGTTTGGAGTAAAGGGCTGGAGACCTCACCCATACTCTCTCATGGACAAAGGAACTTTAGTACCAAATGGGGCTGAGAACTTGGGGGGCACACCCAGTGTTCTCTACCCACAAGAACTAACCAGTTTCACCACTTATTGGCTGGACGACAAGGAGCAAATGACTTAATTTCTCCGTAGCTTAGTTTTCTTCCCCACAAAACGGGAAAAAAACCCTAGACTTTGCCGTCCAGGGTTGTTTTAAGAGTAAAACCAAAAACAGTTCACGCAAAATATCACAAATCGTGCCTGGCACAGAGTAAAAGCTCAATAAATTTAGCGCTGATTATGACTGCTACTTGTCTCGGGTAGCGCACCAGCGGTGGAGGGGGCGAGCAGGGACACTTTGGTGAGGAGTCCAAGTCTCCCTTCAAGAGTTACAAGAAGGACCTGCTCCAACCTGTTTCTATGGGCAAAGGGAAGTGGTCTGAGCACAAACCCAGGTAATAAGCATCCGGAAAGAAATGGACCCTGGGGTGTCCGAAGCTAGCTCTCCCGGGATGAGGGACTTAGTTCTGGGATCCTACCTCAGGTATCCAGGTAATTCGGCAGAAGCCAATGCTCTATCCCCTCGATGCCTGGCCTGTGAGGGTGTGGCCTTTGTGCTCAGGAGCTGCACCCGGAGTCTGCGCTGAGGGAATCCCCGTTCCCGCTCCTTGGGGCTCTGAAGCTTGCCGCGGGGAGACTGGGAACTCGCTGCTCCAGGGGTGCCCCAGGAGGGGAGTGATCGACCTCAGGATTCCTCCGCGGAGCCCTGAGGAGTCGACGTCTCTTCCGGAAGGGTCTGGCCAAGGCGCGGGGCCCAGAAAAGGGGACTTCGCTGAGCTCTGCTCTCTCCCCGCTGATTACAGGAGAGCAGCACACTTATACAGGGCGACCGCAGAGAAGGCTGTGCCCCTAAACGCCTGCACGTGGGAGGCCCGAGCAGGCAGGGCCAGAGTGTTTTCAACAGCTCCAGAACCCACGCAACCTCCAAATTCTTCTATGGGCCAGTAGGAACCGGGAACCAGACTCTCAGCCAAAGGCGCTGCTTGGAGAGGGGCGTGCACCTCCCCAGAGAGAGAAGGGTTAAAAGAGGTGCTTCCAGGCCTTTGGTAGCCCAGTCTGTTCTCCAGCTGGACAAACAGAGCCCGGGGACTGCCCGTTCTTTGCAACAGCAATCTAGGTCCCCTCCCGCAGATGGTCTTCCATTCCAGATTGCTGGGGTGCAAAGGAGGAAAAGAACCTCGCCTTCCCGCATCCACCAAAGCGTCTGGAACAACCAGAAGGATCTACGTAGTGTCCAAAGGTGGACAGACCCACCTCGGCCCTAGCGCCCCGAGCCTGAAGCCAAGCCTTCCCTCACCTGATGCCCACACCCCCTTGCCTGCCCCGCAGGCCCTCCAGCTCTGCGCTCTGGAACCTCCCGGAGCAGCGTGGGACTCCCCCACTCCCTCGCTCCGCCCAGGTGCGATTTGCAGAGGGGCGGGGCGGGGGGGAGGTGGCTCTCACTGCAGCCTCCGCCCCTGCGCTCTCCTCCAAACGGTTCAAAGCCCTGCCTACTCGCCAGGCGCTGGGTACTCCCCCCTACCCCGCACACACACCTCCCCTGGGGGCCAGGAATCCCCTTCCCACGCTGCGGCTGTGCAGACCTCTTTGACTGCGAGGGCCAGGCAGGGAAGATGGGCGTGGGTCTACGGACCCGGCTGCGGAGGTGGAAGGGTGTATAACTGGGTGCCGGAGAAAGGAGGGGACGACAGTCCTCTTAGAGCCAGGAAAGGCATCCCTGGTCCATGATCCGACCACTCAGTCACCGCCTAAGATGCCAACGCATTCAGAATCTCGCCTGGAGGTTTGTTTCTCCTGGAAAGGAAGATCGCCCCATCCCAGGCACCCAGAAGCCTGCCTCCCCAAGTCCCCCTCGGGCCCTGGCGTTCCGGGGCTCCATTCTGGCTCTCTGCGCCTCCCCAGGTGCCCAGCTCCTCCCCCATCTGTATTTACACACCCGAGCCAGAGCCCTCCAGACTCAAATCCCTTTTCCTGCACGTCAGGTGACGGCTCGGGGCTGGCCCCTCGCCCACTTTAAAAGCAGAGCCCTTTGGTACCCTTTCAACCCGATCTACCCCCGACCCTCGGTTTCTTCCCCCACCCCTCCAGCAACATTTCCCTCCCCAGATGACTTACTTCAACCCACCCGGATCTGCACTTGGCGTTCCCGCGGCACACAGCCGCAAGCCACTCCAAGGGTTTCATTACCGAGTTGGGGATGACATTCGCAAGGATGGACCGGCTCCTGCCGTGCTAGACTGAGCCCCAAGGGTAACCGCAGCCTTCCTCCTACCCCCACTTCCCACCCCTCCTATTTCATTATCTCTGGTCCTATCCAACCCCCACAGGCAGGATGAGCACTGCTGGGTCCCAAACCCTCGCCTCCCTAGCGGGAGCTGCAGAGAGTGAAAAGTCGACTAGCAAGAACACCGAGAGAGAAATGGGCAGATGCAAACGTCCGGGGGTGGTAGTGGGGGAGGACTGGGGGAAGGGCGCACGCGAGAACTAGACGTGCAACTTGCACAGCACGGGGTGAGCACCGCGTAGGGAGGGGGGCACAAAAGTTTGCAGACTATTGCACCGCAGCCGACTGCACGCGAACAGAGGGTCGACTCCCCCCTCACCAGGAGGGGTCTCTTCCAGGGTCGGCGCCAAGGGGACCGGGGGTTTGGACATGGCTCTGACCTAGAGTGATAGTTCTCCTCTACTTGTTACGGAAGGGAGGGCCTAGGCACCCGGACAGAGGGACGACACCGCGCTTTGCGAAAAGCAACAGGCGGCTGCACCTTACCTTGCGCCAGTCCCGGGCCGGGGTGGCTGCTCCATCCTCGTGGCGCAGGGAGGAGGCGTTGGATGCGTATGCCTGGGGGTGTGCGCTGCCAGAACTGCAGCGGCCGCTCTTCCCACCCCGCTGCGAGCCCGGCTGCCCACCCCGAACCCTGCCGGCTGGGAGGGCTCGTTCCGGGTCTCCGCGGCGGCGTTAGTGCGCGGCGGCTGGAGCGCGGGACGCGGGCAGTGCGTGGCTAGCTGGCGTCCTCCGGCGCCTCCGCCGAGCAAGGGTGCGGCCCCGGGCGGCCGTGCAGAGCACTGCTGGGCTCCCGCTTCTGCGGCGGCTGCTGCAGACCCTGCGCCCGGCCCCGGAGCCTCGCAGGAGGAGGAGACAAAGACCAGAGGGAGGCGAAGCGCCGCTCGCCCAGATGCGATCGTCTCAGTCACTAGAGGGGAATCGCCTCCAAACCCGGGCTGGGGATGAGGGAGGAGGGGCGAGGAGGCAGGGGTCTGGAAAAGCAGCAGGGAATGAACGTGACAGTCGGAGACCTGCCGCCGCCTCGCCCGCGCTGCCCTGTCGCCACCCGGGTGGAGGGTCCGGAATGGAGAGGGCGGGCGGGGGCTGAGCGTTTACTGCTGGAGGAGATGAGCTGAGGTGGGAGTATTCGCTCCCTCCGCCTCCCTTGCCTGCCTTCCTCGCAACCAACACCCCCCCCCCCAACCTCCCGCCCGCCCCGCCGGTGCATAGCTCCACTCTCAGGAAGCTATGGCCCCATTCTTTCTCCTGTTTTCCTAACTACTGAGATCAGAGCTGAATAAAACTGGCAGAAGCAGCGTAACATGGTGATGGGTTGATTGTCCTCTAATGGGGAAAAGGCGGATGCTTAAAATCTATTTGACAAATGAATGTCTACTGGGTGCCAAGTACTGTATTAGGCTGTTCTGGGGTAAGATGACTAAAGTGAGATATACCCGTCCAAGGCTCCATGATCGAATACCAGAATGATCCCCTGCAGCTCCTGAAGCCCAAAGTTTTGGGGATGAGTTGTGGCCCCTCATCCCCACCCCCAACCAGTCCAGTTTCTTAAAGCAGAAGGTGCTAGGAGAATTGAATTTGCCTTCCCATTGCAGGGATGACTCTGAATGTACAGCCAAAATGGAGTGTATAGTTTATATAGACCCTAAGAAAGTATATGTGTGTGTGTGTGTGTGCGTGTTTGTTAAGATTAAAGCAAATTACTGCTTTTAGAAGTTTTATGTCATGATTTAAATTATTCATCAGATCTGCTCCTAAATAAATAAATGAATAAACAAACAAACAAACAAACAAGAAATTTGGGCCAGATGAACCTGTTTTCCAGCATCTACAGATACCATCTTCTTTGACAGCCCATTTCTACAGCCCTAACCTCTTACTCTAGGCAGAATTACTTCTCTCCTTCTCTTTCCTGTCACTATCCTACTTGCCAATCACTTGCAGAATTCACATACTATAGATTTTTTATAGACTTCTATTGCTTTACTCACCTTTTTTTTCTCCTTTTTCAGGATTCCCCTGCAACATCCAGCCTTGCTTTGTATGTAGCTAATGGGTACTCAAGGAAAGCTTAACCAATTGAAGGTTGTTTTCTCCTTTAAACACATCTGAATCCTAGTGTCTCCAGAATTAAAGGAACTTGGGTGATGAAATTTTTAAGAGTTTGGGGCAGGGGAGGACACATATAGCGTTCTACTCACAGCTCTCCTGACCTAGTAATGTAAAACTATGTAATTCATTTGTGTTTCTAAACAATTTTCTTCTTCCACTTACAAGCCCACCTCTGTTTGCTGAATTCCCAGAAGCAAGGGAAACTAAGCTATTGGACAAATGCATAGAGCAAGAGATTCGTACTCAGCTGCCAACACCTAGAGCAAACCCCTTCCAGGTGGAGAATGGCCAAAACCTCTTTGATCATTTCAAGACCTGTGTCAAGTATGTTGAAAGCCTGTCAAGGTGTCTTCATTTCCAATGAGGGTCTCCTTGTGGATGCATTTTAGAATAGTTTGGACAGTATTTCATTCTTGAGAGGTGAGAAATGTTCTGTGGAGTTTAGGAATATTTAAAATTGTTCTTAATTTTGGGGGCCCACTTCCTAACCATTGTAGGATGGATACCCTAGATCAGGGATGCTTTATGAAAAGGGTCCAGAATGGGTAGGAGATCAGAGAAAATGACCACTATGTTTCTAAGATGATACTGTGATTGGAAAGTTTGTGTTTTTTTGTAGCTTAAGTTTTGCTTATTGTTTTTTTAAGTGAAATTTTAGGACCCAGACACAGGTACATATGGATGGCAGGTATGTAATTTGGTATAATTTTTCTGAAGGGAAATATCATGTTATTCTTGAAAGCATGAAATTTTTGCATGCCACTGTCCCTAAGACTCTACTCCTAGAAATTCATCATTAGGGATAAATAAGGATCTACAGTAAGATTTATCTACAAGGTTTTTCATTGCGGTGTTGTTTAATTCTAGTGAAAAACTGAAAGTACACAAAACCAAGTGGAAATGTCTAACAGGATAGGAACGGTGAAATATTTTGTAAGTCTATAAGTGGGATACTGGTCAGACATTAAACCGTAGTTGTAAGTGAATGCGTGAATATTGTCAACAATGACAGTTACGCTTTTAGATGGAAAAAAAAATTAGATGCACAAGATGAGAGATGCAATAATAAAAATTAATATCTGGAGTCAACAGATGTAGGTGTGGAGCTAGACGTTTCTTCTTGATAGTTATGTGATCTTAGACTTGAACTTCGAATTCCTCAACTGTGTGAATGGTTGATGTTATTTAGCTCATGGTGCTGTGTTTTACAAGAAATAGTATTTGTGAAACACTTACTACAGTGCCTATTAC